TAATAATTAGTAAAATTTTAATTTTTTAAAGACGATGGTGACTCTAAAAGACGATGCTCTTTTCAAGAGGTCAAACTCTTAATAAAGTTAGACTTATATATATATATATATATATATATATATATATATATATATATAATATATATATATATATATATATATATATATATATATATATATATATATATATATATATATATATATATATATATATATATATATATATATATATATATATATTATATATATATATATAATTAAAAACTTATTTAGTCAAATCAATCTATTTGACTATCTATAAATACTAAACTATTTTTATATATATTTAAAAATTTATATAAATATATATACAGACACACATATTTATACATATATATATAGACCCATGTAATAAAAATTGCTTGTATTATTGAAAAATAGTAAAATATTATGTTTAGTTAAAAAATGTTTATTTATTTATAATGTGATAAATTGAAATTACAGGTTTTAGATGTACTTAACAACTTTTATTTTATATTTAAGATGAGGAAATTAAAATACATTTATAAAAATAAAGAAAACAATATCGAAAGCATATTAACACTAGAAGGAACGTTTGAGTTGTTTTATACTAACAGAGCTCAATAAACAATTCATACAGCACTTGTATAATTTTAGGCTAAATAAAATCTTTAAATATTGAAACATTTAGATACAAGTTGAATACAGCCTCATCTTAATGTTGTCGAAAAATGTTTTTATGTGTAAATAAAACCTTGATTGCTGTCTACCATACAGTTATATTATAAACCTTCTAGCATACTGCAGAGGGTAGTTAAGAATTGAAACGTACATGTGTTAAAAAAAAATATGTTAATATAACTAATACTATAAGTAAACCTATTAGTAATAAGTTTACTTTGTTAAAAAATGTAACATTGTTTGTAAACAGTAAAACTAAGTAACATTTTGAAAACATTTGGAATATATAAGTATAAAATAGCACTTTATGGTATTTAGTGTTTGTATTTTTCATATATTTTGAACAATAAAAATAACACTGAATAATATTTTTTTGATTCAAAACATAACAAAAATACAAACATTAAAAATGCCATAAAAAGCGATTTTTATACCTATAAATTTCATCGTTTTTACAAAAATCCATTTGATTTATTAAGTAAACAAATATTTCTACTATATTTTATTAAAACATTTTTTTTTTTAAATAAGATTTAAAATAAGATAACCATCATTACAAAAGCATTTTTCTTTACGAATTCTTCAAAACGTCTTAAAGTTAATGTTATTGTTTATAAATCTGGCTGTACTAGACATCCCAGAATCCCCGTTCGCTAAATTACAAGAAACCTTGCGAGTCGTACACCACTGATTAGATATCTGAAAAAATTTAAATAGTTAAACAAGTTTCAATATTTCCAAGTTTCTTTACTTAAAGTAAATATATGATTGTTTATAGAGGTTTTCTTTTATTAGTTTTGTATTTACTTATTTATTGCAAATCTTGCATTAAATGCGTTTCAAAGTAATGAAAGGGTTTTTATGATAAATGATTACATTTTATCCATATAGTTTTATTACTTATAAATTTCATTTTATCCTTATAGTACTTGCTGAGCAGACAGGCCTTATTATTTTTAATTTGCTTTATTTATGAGTTCTTAAATGTGAAAAATTTGTTTTTAAATTACTTTACTTTTGTTTTTTTGATTAAATACTAATAATATTTTATCAATAATTAATAACAACTAACTTAAACATGTAACAATGCTCAGTTTGAAAGATTATATCAATTTATTTATAACTTTAGTTTAACCTTTTAATAAAAGTATGTTATCTTAACACATTGTTATATATGGTAGAATATAAAAGGTTATTATATTATGCTCTATTCTTGGAGTCGGAGGTCACGTGGCAAATCGAATTTTTATAGCTACCATTATGGATTAGGGAAAACAAACTGTTAAAGCGCTGTAAAAACAAGATTTGTTTAGCTAATTTGCAAGATTGTTTAGCTAATTTTGCAAATTTAAACTTATTCAAATTAATTTACAAATGCTAATCATTCAAAAGTATTTATTTTAAATAAGTTTTATGATTTTCTGATTTATTTATAAGTTACATTCTGTTTTATTTATAAGTTACATTACATTTTACCCTGTAAAAAAAACCGTTAATTTTATTTTTTAAGTTTATTATGAAAAAATATTTCAAATAAAATTAAACAAATAAACTACTTTAAACCCAAAACAAAAAATAAAAATTGAAAGTAGAAAAAGAAAACATCCTATTAACTACTTTTATTATTCTTGTTTGTATATTTTTTTTCTATTCAAAATTCATGTATTTTTCTTAAACTGATAAAAATTTTTATAAACTGATTAAAATAAAAATGTTTTAAGACATAAAAGTGTAGACATAAGATACATAAAAATGTAACAAATGAAATAAAACATAAAACTTTAATTGTAAAATGTTTTATAAAAGACTTATTTTTTTAAAAGTATCCAATTATAGCATGTTATTTGTTTACATCTTTTTATGGTTCAAAATCTACAATTGAAACACTAAGCCTACAATGATAAAATTAAAAATGAATTCCATGAAAAAGACATAGATGATTAGCTATTTGATAGAATCTTCTTGTTTTTTCCTTACTAGCCTATCTGTCACTAATCCAAAAATATAACCATAATGATTTACTTTAAAATCTTAAAACTTTCTAATAAGTTTTAGGTAGTAAATTTGCAGTGGACCTTTATTAGGTAGTAAATTTGCAGTGGACCTCACTGTTGATGGGATTTTGCTCAACAGTTACTAAGTGGACCTTAATCGGCAATTGCTATAAGTGGCCAGCCAATAAATTTTTAACATGTATTTTTTTTAGTATTACTTTTGGCTATATGCTGTAATATATTTCTTGTACTGACTGTAACATTTTGCTCTTGTTAATGGGATTCAATGAAGATTTCAAAGCATGTTAGTGTAAGAAACTTTGTCTTGAAAACAGGTGTTAATGATTTATAAATATCAGTTCTGACTTGCATTTTTATCGGAAACTTTAGTTTAAAATACATATTAACAACCCACTTCCAAATAGCTTATTGCTAACTCTTACTGATGTTACATATATAAGCAAGCATTTTAAAGTAGGTTTTAGTTTAATTTTATCAAAGTCAACAATATATTTGATCATTTAAGGCTAACTTGTAACAATATTTTTTTTCATCTTCACTTAAATAATCCATCATTACTAACAAGTTTTTTCAGAATCTAAACTGTAAATAGAGCACATATGTTCTCATCTCCAAATTCTAATTTTAGTCTTTCACATATTACTTTTAAACTATCCATTTCCTTACAAAAACCTTTTCTTTCTAACTGTGTAACTGGAGTTAGTGATGGTATTAAAGATTGTGCAGTTAAGAGGTGTAATGTTGTTTCGAGGAGTTAATGAGTTTTAGAAGCATAAAAAATCTGTTGGTTCACCTTCCGACTTATTTTTTGCATTGAAATCATTTTATAATTCTATCGTTGTTGTTAAAGCTAAAAATTATTAAGTGAAAAAATTATTATTTGATGCAATTTTAATATTAGTTCTTGTGATATATTGATTTTGATTTATAAAAAAAATAAAGTTAAAATAAAAAACAAAAACCAACATTTCAAAAGAATATTTACTATAATCTAAATAAATTAAAATTATCAAGGAATTGCTAATTTTATACAATTTAACATAAAATCCTTGTATTTAAATAGTTTTAATATAATTACAACTTTAATTTAGTAAAGAAAATAAAAGAATATTAAATACAGTATATCATAATAATATATTATTATGATATACTGTTATATAGCTGTTACATATTGTTGTTATTATTAACAGCAATATATAATAGTTCATATATTTTTTTATATAACTTTTATGTAGATTTTATCTGTTGTTTTCTTTATTTTTTTATTTTGTGACCAAAAAACTATAAAGTATGTGTAGTGAAAAAAATATACACTTAACAATCATTAAACTATGTTGTATAATTGTGAAATGTATTAGAGTATAAATGTCTAGTGTGTAGAGGAAAAAGTATAAAATTTAAATCATTAAATTATGCTGTATAAACCTGACTTGTTTAGTAACTATTTTAGCATTATTTTATATCTGTCAAGCCCGTATATTTAAAAGAAGATGTTTGTTTTTTAAATTTGTTTTTGTCCATATTACTTTATTTACCTTATACTACTGTTATTTTTACTTAACGAATTTTTTTAATAATTAAAAAAAAAATTATTACAAAAATTCCTTATTTACTATTTTGATAAATTACTAAAACTAAAACCCACCAGAAAATATTGTTGTGAACAGACATAATGATTATTTTGGGAGATTATAATTTTGATTTGATAACTAGTAATTATCAAATCAAAATTATCACATAGTATAATTATTTCTGTATAATAATAATAATAACAATAATAACAGCTGTTATTATTGTTATTATTATTATTGCTATTATTACTATTATTGTTATTATTATTATTGTAATTATTGTTATTTCATTTTTTTATTTCTTCTCATACAAATTCTTGAATAACTAACGAAAAATTTATTTGTTTTTTACATATTTAAATACAGGCGAAAACAATTTTTTTTTTAATGACAACATGTTGACTCAACAATAAATACAGTTTATTTATGAAAAAAATACACACACACATTTGCACGCACACACAGATATATATATATATATATATATATATATATATATATATATATATATATATATATATATATATATATATATATATATATATATATATATATATATATATATATATATATATATATATATATATATATATATATATATATATATATATATATATATATATATATATATATATATGTATATATATATATATATATATATATGTATATATATATATATATGTATATATATATATATATATATATATATATATATATATATATATATATTCCTTAAATAATTCCTTATATTGATATAAGAAGAAAAATGATAAAGAAAGCTTTTAGAATATCAAAATATGGCTGAAACATTTTAATATATAAGACATTTTTTTGCCTCTTAAATTAATTTATGCAACTTCTTGAGGAAGGTACCTAAGTTCGTCATAGACATAACTACGCAATCTTTCAAACTCTACCAATGTTAATCGTATTCCGTGATCTTTATCTAATGTTTTTATAAAATTATGTCTAATAAGGTCTTCAAGTAAAACACCATCAATTAAGTTTTCATCAGCAAAGGCTCCTAAACGATTCAATTTTATTTTCTTCATGATTTTCTTAACATCGTTTACTGACCAATCAGTTACTCGAGAATTTTCCAAATTATTTGAGAAGCTTACTGTTTTAACTCTCCACCCGTGAACATATTTATATAATTTACGAGCTTCGAAATGCGTTAAACCTATTTCACGTAGTGCCTCCTCAGATAACCTTTCTAGCAGTTTGCCATTAATCATTTGTTGTTTAAATTTTTTGACAAACTTACCGAGTTTCAATCCATGCAACCTATTTCCTATATCTTCGATTGAACATCTAAAAATATCCTTTAAACTTTCGATTTCTCTCTGTGATTCGTTACTAACGTTATTTAGTTTTACCGCATTGTATGACCCCGAGCTGACATCATCTGTTGATCTCGAGCTTTTTACGAAAGCATAAAATTTTTCTATGTTCTCCACATTATTAGGAATGCACGTGTCACTCTTTGAAAGCTGCTTTTTTATCTTTTTTTTGTTATTCGATATTAAGAAATTTAGAAAAGTATATAAACTTCTTTTTTTGTCTATACAATCAGGAATGCACGAGTCGCTTTTTGAAAGCATTTTACTTAATGATTTTTTTTTCTCACTAGCAAAGCTAGAATAGGCAGTGCTAATACCATTACTTAATCTTGGCATATTTAAACAAGTATACAAACTATTTTCATTGTCTATACATTGAGGAATGCACGAGTCACTTTTTGAAAGCGTTTTATTTAATGATATTTTTTTCTTGGTAGAAACGCTTGTGTAGGCAGTGCTAATATCATTGCTTAATCTGCAATCATTTAGACAAGTATATAAACTTTTTTCTTTGTCTATATGTTGAGGAACGCACGAGTCACTTTTTGAAAGCGTTTTATTTAATGTTTTTTGTTTCTTATTAGCAACACTCATGGAGCTAATGTTTAAGTCATTACTCGATCTTGTAAAATTTAGATGAGTATTTAGAAAATTTTCATTCTCAATACATTGAGGAATGCACGAGTCACTTTTTGAAACTGTTTTATTTAAAGTTTTTTTTTTAGCAGCAAACAGTTTCATTTTTTTTTTTTTTTTTGATTCAGCAATTTTTTTCATCGCATCATTTTTTGACTTAGTTTTACAACTTTTTTCACCAAGTGAATTGATCCCGGAGTGTATAATATTACTGCTGCAATGTAAGTCTGTTGTTTTGTTCATATTTTCAAATAAAGAATTATCAAAAGTATTTATATGATGTAATACCGGAAAAATTGGTTGCGTTACGTTATTTTCAAAGGTTTTATTATAAAACACACCACTTTTTGATGTGTCTTTATCTTTTTGTTTTAACGCCTGATAAAATGTATCATACCCGTAAAAAGAATTTTCACTGGCTTTTTCATATGCTTCAGAGAATTGATTAAAACCATTTGAGTCAGTTAACTTTTCTTTTTTTACTTTTATCAAATCAAATGATTCACTTTTCATTTTAATATAACTACTTTTTCTTCTATTTGCTCTCTCTGTTCTTTCAACTTGACCAAGTGAAATTTCATCTTCGTTATCTGAATTTTTAAAAACATCATCATCATCATCATCATTATTAAGACAAAAAGGTTGAATTAAAGCTCTTTGATTTAAAAAAGATGAATTTAAACTAGAAATTGATTTTTCAAGTTTGCTTTTGCTTTCGAGTGTTAATTTATCTGGTGTGGATTGCAAACGCAGAGGACTGGGTTTAAACGCAATAATTTTGTCAATATCTTTTTTAATCTCTAATAAATTGTTGTTTATTTTTGAAATTGGAACTTGCGTAGTGTCAAACTCACATACTGTGTCTGAATAACTATCATTTTTTACTTGATTTACAAATAAAAAGTCTGTGAGAAGTTGCCCGTAAAATATAGGAGTGTAAATTTCAAAGTGAATAGAAAATATTATCTCCGCTATTTTGATAATATACTCTCTAGAACCATATTCTCCAAATCCGACAAGATGCAACGGTTCACGTTCATTTGAAATAAATACTGCAATATTTGAATCAAGCTGAAACATTTCGTATAGCAATTTATTTGGATAGTTTTTTGGTGTTGTTACAGTTAAAACAGAATCATATACATACAAACCATCAAGAACAACATTTCCACTTGGAACTTGACCTTCTAAACCTGTAATAAACCGAACTTTTGTTCCTGCAAATGATTTTCTAGATAAAAGCACTTCAAGACTGGTGGTCTCTTTACGATACACAAATACAAAGAGATTTTTGTTCAATAAAGATTTTAACGAATAATAAAAGGTTTGACCTGTAGACGATATCAAAGCTATATGGTTTAAGTCTTTAAATGTTTCATTTTGTTCATCTAGTCTGTAAAATTCTTTATCGTGAGAAAACTTAGAAAGAATGTAACTTATATTTGGAAAGAAACTTATGATATCCATTAAATCAGTTGGATATATTTCATCTAAAATGTCAACATAAAGATCAGCTTTTTGACGCGTATTTAGGCGGAAGATATTTCCATTCCAGTCTGTTCCAAACAAAAGCTGAATACGTTCCCGTTGCAAAACTGTAAAATTCGTTCCAGCTTCAAATACAAAACCTCCGTTCAACTGGCATTTTTTACTTGTTGTTACTGAAATGGGTAAACCAAACCTATCTAAAGCATCCGGAAGAGAAAATTCAGTTTTTTTAGCCATTATTTAAGGTGGTTAAGCATCTGTGAAAAAAATAAATAAACTTTAATGATTTATTTTGCTAACGAAATTAGTTTCGGTAGTATTGTTATTATAATCGTTCTTTTATCATTCGAATTATGGTTTATTAAGTCACACTAAGCGTAAAGAGAGTTTTAAGTTAGATTTAAAAAACTTTAGATATTCCACCCATAAAGCGTTAACTGAATTTATTTTAAAATATTTCTAATCAATTGCTTAAAAATTGGAGAATTATGTAAGTTCTATATTTACAAAAATATATATATTTTTATAAAAAAGTTATTAAGGATTTATTATTAATAAAAAACTTTCTTTTCTTACCGTCTATTGAATAAATACCGTAAAAGTTTTAAAACAATTACTAATGAATAGAATTGTTTGAACATTTTATCTTATCGGCAAGGACTGATTAGAAATCTTTTTTTTTAATTTTAATATTATTTAATTTCTTTATAAATGATTATAACAATAACTTGCAATAAAAAGCATATTGAAATGTTTAAAGAATAATAATTTAAAACAATTTGCAGTAATAATTGTCTTACTTTTTGAGCTGGTCGGGTGTCAGTACCCGTTGCACAGATTGCTGTTTATCAGCGGATCGGGTTTTAGTACTCGATTATGTTTTATTTATTTGAAAAACCGGTTTATCAAATAAAAAAAATATCATTGAGTACTTATGCTGTGTAATAATGTGGTTAACAATTTAATGACAGTTATTCGAGTGGATAAGTCAAACAGCAGTAACTAAGTCGCATTTTTAATTTATTTTGTTTTATAAAATCTTTGGTTAATGAACTTATATGTTTATTTTATATATTGTATACTTACATACAATGTTTTATTTATTATTTTTTATATATTATATTATATTGAAGGTATCTTTGGAGCTGTCCATTAATTACGTCAACAATTTTCCGGCAATTTTAATCTCCTGCACATCCCCCTCGTCAACAACTTGTCAAATTACGTCAATATTTAATAACCCACCCCCCGGCCTCAAAAAAAAAAAAAAAGTTTGAAAAAAATTTTAATTGACTTGTTTACATCTGAAACAAAAACGTGGTTCATTTAAAATTACAAATGCTTGCTCTCAACAAAAAGTGAATTAAACTAAAAGGTATAGAAAAAAAAATTTAAACTTTCAACTTATAAACATAATTCCAGTTTAAAAATATAAAGAACTACTCATAAGAAAAAAAAGATTAAAGGGTTCACAAAAATGTTTACACCTTTAAATTATAATAAATTTCAAATTAGTAAAATTCTCCTAACTTTAATATTAGACCAAATACAAATTTACAGTGAAAGCCAGTTAACTTTAATAGAGTCTAGAATAGCAAAAAATGCATTCAACAAATTGTAAAAACAACGGGTTAACAACCTTTTGCGACGGAAGAGCGAAAAATTACAATATACAAAGTTTTTCAAGATAAGTATATATATATATATATATATATATATATATATATATATATATATATATATATATATATATATATATATATATATATATATATATATATATATATATATATATATATATATATGTATATATATATATATATATATATATATATATATATATATATATATATATATATATATATATATATATATGTATCCTTACGGAAATATTCCATGGAAAACCCATGGAATTCTATGAGTAAACCATGGTTTTCCCATAAAAAACGGAAATTCCATGGAATTTCCATGGGTGAATTTCTTGAAAATTGAAATCCCATGGGTTTTTTTTTCATAGCTTATGCTGTGCCATGGTTGTTACGAATGCGCTTTTAAAGATGGCGTCATAGCTCGTACAGTTACGATTACTTTTAACTTGAGTAAACAATAATTACTGCATTCTTCTGTTTTTTTGTGTTTAGTAAGACTATAAATGATATGTTTGTTATAATGCATCACATTTATATGATTCAAACTAAGCATACAGACATAAGCAACTAGATATATTTATCATATTATAATGCATTATTAAATAGATTATTTTTAGTTATATTTAATTTTATATCATTTATGTATATACTTATTTTAACTGTTTACAGTAGCTTTGCATAACTTGCAATAGTATAGCAAGTATGTCAAGTAAACCAGTTTGAATTTTAATGCTTACTTGGCAAATTATTTGCCAAATAACTATTATTTGGTTTACAACAAATAAACGTTTAGTTTTAATCTACATTAAATAACTAAAACAAAGAAAACAGGTTTGTAAATGATGTTGTACATCATGCAGATAGCTCAGAAGAAAAAGTAAGTTTTTTTTTTTTATTTCAAAAATAAATATATAGTATAATATTTGTTGCTGCCTTGTTCTATATAAATGTTTCTAACATGTAGGTAACATTTATATATGTATTAGTTTGAATAAATCATTTTAATTAAGTTACATTATAGGCAGGAATGTTTGACTGGAAATATAAACGATGTTGTACATAATGCAGATAGCTTAGGCGAAAAAGAGGTATTAATCTAATAAATGTTATTTATAAATAATGATATATTCATTGCTACTTTTTTCTATATAAATGTTACCTAACATTTGGCAATATTCATAATTGTGTATAATGCCAAATTATAAAGTAAGTTATAATCGATAATAATTATTAGTAAAATGAATCAGTAAATAAAGAAAACTAGTTAGAATGTATATAATAGTTGTATGATGTATTGTCTAGATTGGTGAAATGGAGAATGAGACTAACTACGGTGAAAATATAATGAATATCAAAATGTAAATAGTACTTTGTTTGACATCTACCTGTTTCTACTGACACAGTGCAGTCACACTTATAAATGGGCTTAATGTTTTTTTGGATTGAATATGTTGTGTTGATGGTTCTTTTTAACTTGTTAAAACTTGAAGTTATTATCAAATTTATATATACTATTTTTATCAAATAGTTAAAATAAAATAATAAACATGTAAATTGTTTTATTTTCTAAAAAAATTGTTTTCTTGATATATTTCAATTGTTTATCACTATGTATATCATTTATAGTATTATATTACTTTATTTTCAGTATGTTATACATATGCATGCATTAAATATGGTGGGGAAGTCAAGTTTTGATGTTTTAGGTGCATTATAGCTATTATTTTTCAAAGATTTGTAGGATCTAACAAGATTTAAATTTTATTTTGTTTATTGAATTTATTTGGAGAAAGCGATCCTATAGAATAAGAGAACTCAATAATAGTGTGATAAAATTTGCTTTTAAGATTTAATATGAGAATTCAAATAACATTAGATCAAAAAATCTTGAAAACAAATCATGCTTTTTTATCATGAAAAATCCATGAGTTTTCCTTGAAAAGGTGTTCCTAATACCAATGAAAGTTCCATGTTTTTTTCATGGAAGGAAATCTCATTGAATATCCATGGTATTTGGAACACTTTTCCATGAAAAACTCATGGAATTTTTCATGAGAAACTCACGGGTTTCCCATGAAAACTCATGGGTTTTCCATGAAAACGTGTTCCAAATAACCATGGTTTTTCCATGGGTTTTTTTCATGGGAATTATCCGTAAGGGTATATATATATATATATATATATATATATATATATATATATATATATATATATATATATATATATATATATATATATATATATATATATATATATATATATATATATATATATATATATATATATATATATATATATATATATATATATATATATATATATATATATATATATTTATGAGTTTTATGAGTTAAAGCTTTTTTATTCGCACCTTTTTCTCTTATATGAGCATATGCTTAAGACTAATTCAGACTTCGGATAATTTCAATTCCCCTTGAACATTCTCTATCAACTTACTGCCAAATCTTCCGCTTAAGTCGTACCCTGGTTAAGTCGGAAAATTCGCTAACTCGTACTGTTTTTTGAGGTCCTTTCGGCAAAAAACTTCGTTTAACAAGGACTTTCATTTTGAATTGCATATAAGTGCATATAATAACAAAATTTCCAACACTTCAATAAAAATTCCAAACTTTAAACGATCGTAATAAAATACTTTTGCGTCAAATATAATTAAGCATAGCTAAAAATTTTCACGGAGATATTACGATTTAGTTAAGTTTCGATTTAATTCTATTTATTAATAACTATTAAGTTAAAAATTCAAAATTATCAATTAAAATTTAAAACTTAGAACTTCGAAAAATAATTAACTTTTGCGTCAAACATAATTTAACGAACTAAACATATCACTGATATATTTGATTCGGTTATACTTCGATCAAGCTTTATTTACTAAAAATATCAAAGGTTGCTAAAAGAAAGTTATCAAGTAGAACTATAACAAAAAAATAAAAAATACTAAAAGAACTCGACAAAGAAGACTCGTCCGTATCTATATCAAAGATATATGGCATTCCAAAGCAGGCATTGTCTGTATGGTCAAAAGAAAAAAATACAATATATTCAGAAGTCGAAAAAAAATCAAACTTTTCCAAAAGGAGTTCCATTTTTATTATTAATTTTTCAGTCATTTATCTAAAAAATTTGTCTAATAATACACTGTTTAAAAATTCGGCGTAAATTCTACGGAGAATGTCCGGCAGCAAAGCACTTTCGCCGTAAAAAATAACGGTAAAAATTAACGGAAAAAGTCCGTAAAAAAATTTACAGAACTTCCTCCGTAAAATTCACGGTTTCCGTTTTTCATTTTTTCCGTACTTAATTAACGGAGAAAGTCTGGCAGCAAAGAAACAGCACTTTCTCCGTAAAAGTAACGGTTTCCGTATTTCATTTTTTCCGTTCAAATTAACGGAAAAACTCCGTTAATAGTTAGTTAACTCATTTCACAGAGTGTATGCGCAAGTCAAAAATAAATAGAATATATACGTTGTTAAATTATAAACAAATTTTATTATAATAGTAATTATATATATATTATATTTTGTATATTATACAATATATATAAAAAACAAATATTATATTATGACAAATTAGATATATTATATTATAACAATTAATAAATATAAACAAAACGTCTTTTTACCTATTTCTGATCTGTCCATTCAAACAGCGCTAAGTTGGTTTACGAAACTCAAAATTTTTGGGTGTATTCCGACATATTGTTTTTTACCAGTTTTTTTCTTGATTTTGTTACCTTTTTTCTGGATTTGTTTTTGCAATACATCTACATAATAATTAGATCAGATTAATAAATCATTAATTACATTAATAAAAGAAAAATAAAGTAATGTGGAAAATATTATGTAGGGCGAGCATGTAAAGCATACAGTTGCAGGTGATCAGGATGCAGTGATTTAGAAGAAAAGGGTAGGGTAGAAGTAGATGTTAGAGAATACGTTGCAAGTAAAATGAAAAAGCAGGGATTTTCATAAATTTCTTATAAACAAGTATGAATAAACATTAGCTTATAGCTAACATTTAACACATAATACGCAGAAAGAAGAACAACCAATGATAAAAGAGAATTTGCAAGATTATCTATTATAACATGCCGATCAACAACCATGTGAAAACTATTACACTTGAATATACATGTTCCTATATGGACAAATAAATGTTGAGAAAAACAACCATAAAAAAGTAAAATTTCTTATCATTTCACATTAACAAAATTAACAATTTCTAAACAAGAAAACAAAATCGAAATCATGTTTTTTATAAATACATTCAACAAACTTATTAAAAAGTTAGTAGCGAAAATAATATATTGTGACCAGCAAAAACAATGCAAGGAGAAAGTGGAAGAGTAATGTCTTTTTCAATATCATCTGCATTTGCATGCTCCTACAAGTATTAAAACATTAAATAAATATATTTTTAATAGAATAAGCAGACAAAATATATTAAATTCTTTCAACTTTTTTAATCAAGGAAGAGAAAATTGTAAAAAATCAATGAAAAAATATTTACTACAGTCTGATGAAACAAAAACTTAAAAGATTTTTTAAAAAACTGGCAAATGCCTAAAATTACAGAAACAAGTGGTGCTAACACATGACCTTGCCCAGCTAATGTTATTTCATTCATGGATTGTTGCATTTCATTTTGGCGTTGCAAAAACCTGACTATTACGCTAGATTTAATTTTAAGATTTTCTTCAAATATAAAAGCTTCAAATATGTCAGCACCAGTCAATGTTTTTAAATGATGTAAAAACCAATTGGCTTTGAATAAAAATGGCCATTTAGCCACTAATGAAACAATTTTCAGTAGATTTATTCCTATTATATCAGCACGCTGTGAAGCATAAGTTAACAACTGCAATCTTTCTATTTCGTAAATTTTCCATAATGAAGAGGGCAGATTGTGATGATCTTGCAACCACCCAATATGTTCGTTCTGACTTTTTTCAGTTTCATTTTCATCAAGTTTTAGCAGCCACTTAATGCAACCATAACTATCTTTCGGCTTGATTTTTGTTTCTTTTAATTCCTCGTCCATTACATAACTTACTGCAGCAAAGTTTTATTTTAATGGGTTTGGAGCTTGTAGCCTATTAATATTTTCAACACGAGCCTCTAGTTCTTTCACAAAAGAGCTGCATCCCGTCCCCACTCTCTGATTTTCAAACTTATCCTCTAGAGAAATGGGATATTTTCTAACAATTTATTATGCAATTTTCTCCAAATTTTTACGACCTAGTTTTCTTGTAATTTTTATAATATCATCACAAATGACCCTGATCATTGTACTTTTGCGTTTTGGCCAAAGAGGAGCATTTTTTTCAAGTAAATCTATAATTTCAGCTGGTAGCTTTTCCCATGGTACATTAAAAACATCTACCCAATTGTCTAGAATAACACTAAAAGATTCAGATGTAGTTACATTTCTAGATGTAGATACAATTCCATGTTGCGTTGAAATCGGAAACATAGCATGAACCTCAGGAAAACTTTCGATGGTAGAATTTCCTTTTAAAAATTATAATTAAAATTAATGAATATAGTATTAATTATTAATTGCAATATTTTAATTAAATAATAATGTAACAAATTTTAACATCAAAAATTCTACTCTAAAAATAACTTAGTCAAAAACCATAATTTTAAATAACTTAAATATAATATAAATAATTTTAAATAACTTAAATATAATATAAATAATTTTAAATAACTTAAATATAAATCGGTAACAAGTATATATTTTAATTGCGCTTATTTAAAGACTTCACTACAAAAAAGTAAATAGAAAAATACATCTAACATAATATTCAATTTTTTTTTTTTTTTTTTCATTTGCATTCACTCCCAACAAGGCTGCAAGCAACCACTATTAAGTTGGGAGTTACTAGGAAAAAAAAGAACAGAGTTATAGAGCAAGGAAACGGTTGACAGAAGACTTGAAAAGTTGAAGGTTGTATGAGTTAGGAAAACATGAAGATGCGAGAGAGTTCCAAAGGATTGAAGTGCGGGGAAAAAAACTAGATGAATAAAAGTTTTTAGAGCATACAGGGACAGATACAGTAAACGAATGAGACTTAGCTGAATGACGAGTAAAACGAGAATAAACTTTAGTTGATGGAACTAGAGATGATAACTCCTTTGAGCAGTGACCATGATAGCATTTGTAGAAAAGAGAAAGAAATGCAACTTTACGACGATGGGAAAGAGGTTCAAGCTTAGCAGATAGTCCAGGTCCAACAACATTTCCAATGCGTTTTTGGACCTTGTCAAGAAGAGAAAGTGAATCGTTAGAAGAACCAGCCCAAATATGACAACAG